AACTTCAGAATTAAATTTTAGATAACATAACCAAAATCACACAAATGCATGGCAAAACAGAATTACATTTTTTTTGCCATTCATGTGTTTCTCAAAAATATAGTCAGAATTAGTTACATTCACTGGCAAAGTCAGGTGTAGTTAAAATGAAAAAAAGATTTGGGCAATGAGTTGGACAGGCTGTGTAGAAACAATTTCAGAAACTTCAGAATCAGCTTTATTGGCCTGTATGCGCAAACATACAATTAATTTGAGTACAGTTTTTCTATTGATCTCAACATACAGAAATAGACACAAAACAAGGACAACAAAGCAGAACAAGGTTAAGCATGAACATTAAACGACTATGCAAATATGAATATAAATATATTTATGAAAGTATAAGATAAAATCAGTGAAATGAGGAAATAGTGCAATGATACAGAGTGTATATATCTCGATATATAAATATGTATCGAGATATATAGATATATAGTGCCAACGGTTCAAACATGTATGAGAAGACCACAAATAAACACTGTAAGCAGACTAAGTGGATGCTGGGAGTCTTCCCCTATGATGGTGGTACTGTGGTCCGTGTTCCCTGCGTCTGTTCCCGACTCTGTGCACCCTGTCTGGGGCAGTGGAGCTGTGCATGGCAACCTGGGTGTCGGCCCTAGGGATTGTTAGGGTTAGGCAGAAGGGTATGACAGTTCAGTACCACCTGCAGTGATGACGGCAATGAGCTCAATCCCACAGTAAGCATCACAACAGTGTTGCTTGCGGTAATGCCCTTACTGTCACAGCCATAGTTCAAACTTCAATTTAGGCGAATTTAAGATGTCTTGAACTTAATATATATTTTTATATTACGCCGTTTTCACAGCATTTTAAGACATTGACATATGACAGTTACAGACTGCTCAAGGATAGCTTCATGTTAATTTATGTAAAAGTTTTGGATTATCCCTGTTTTTTCTCTGACTGATAACCACCATTTCTTCTCTCCCCATGTTAGTTGTTCCTTATCGACTTTGGCTTGGCGAAGAAGTACCGAGACAACCGAACACGACAGCACATCCCCTACAGAGAAGACAAGAATCTGACTGGCACAGCCCGCTATGCCTCAATCAATGCTCACCTGGGCATTGAACAGAGGTCTGTGCATATATTTAATACTTGATTCTCAAAGATGACTTTCAAATAAAATAGTTTTCCTCTTATAGAAATATTTCTAGAAATCAAGCCAATAAGTAGAATATGTTTGCTTTTAACATTTAAAACATGGTAACCGGTTTCTCATACTAAGAAACTTAAACTCAGGTCATATGTTGCTCTGTTCAACTAACGCTAGTGCAACTAACCCGTCACTTCATATTTCAATTTCCATGACACTAATGAAAAAAACATATATTGTTCATTATTTTAGAGGGCATTTGTCAACTCACCGAATAACATTACTGTTGTCTGCAGTCGCCGTGATGACATGGAGTCACTAGGCTATGTGCTGATGTACTTCAACAGAACCAGTCTGCCATGGCAGGGATTAAAGGTATGAGAAAATACCTGACTTTGCCAGTGAATGGTCATAATCCATCTCTTTTCTCAAAACTCATGTTGTGTTTTAAAGTTTGTTGCTACCAGTGTTTACACAAATTCTGATGAATGCACTGTATTTGTTCCAACTTCTTCAGTGAACATACATTTTATATTTCAGTTTAGGGCTGGGCAATATGGAAAAGAATGTTATCACAATATTTTTTCCATATCAGTCGATCAATATCTATCGCAATATAAATCAAATAACCAGAAAACCTTTTTTCACGTTTGCGTTAATGGTGTTTTTTTATATGGGTGGGTGGGTCTCTCTGGACCACTTTGCACACAAACTGATAATCCCATAAAAATGTATTCATTGATGGTGTCGGATCATATCTCTGGATTGTTCCAGTCACTTTGCCTCTGATGTCCTGTCTGTGCGCCTCATGTCATGTAGCAGGTTTAAATATGTGTCTTATAAACTCGAATCGAAGCGAATCAAGCAAACACATAGTAAACTTCAGCACTGTTTGTGTCCTAACAACTGGTCATCAGTGATGCTGTTCATTGTTAAACTTAGCGCATGTCAGAGGAGTGAGGAGGAAGCTCCAACAGAGAATCTGACAAAGGATGACCGGACTTTTGAGTGTCTGTCTTGATCCTGGAGCAGCAGTGTTATAATTATTCAGCAGTGGAAACGTGCTGGAACTATGAACATAGCGGAAAACATTTAGTCTTTGCATCGATGCAGAGTCGTTCACCTCTCTGTAGGAGCCCAAACATTAGCACGGGTGCTGCTGCTCCTGCTACACTCTGTGCTGTGTGCGTCAGCCTAACTTGATTGTCTATTCCAGCCACATGATTGTTTTGGTTGGGCGCTATGCTCATTATTAGTAGCTGTTCATGTTATCTGTCGAAACATGGACGGGAAAGTCATATCGCTATAACTATCAATATCTTTTTATCGGCCAGCCCTAATTTCAGCTGTTTTCTTTGTTCATTGTTAAGTCAGCTGCCTATGGGTTACCACTGGTGTCTGTGTTAAACTGCTTACATCTACATAATCAGCTATTACTAGCTCATATACTGCCAATAAAGTGTTACCAATTTTATCTTTGATTATTTTATGAAACGTAAATATCCATCTATTTTTGTCAGTATGTAGGTTTACCACTAATCAGTAGTGTTTTTACCAAATATTACAACACCAGTTGGTGCTCTCTGATGGCAGTTATGTATGTTGTGCTGCAGAAAAAAGTTACTCCAATACCTATGTTGCCAGTTGTTTCAGTGGTTGCTGGTAACACTTTTGTTGGTTTTGTGTGTGTAAGGCTGCCACAAAGAAGCAGAAGTATGAGAAGATCTCAGAGAAGAAGATGTCCACCCCTGTTGAGGTCCTCTGTAAGGTAAGACACATTAAACAGGACCATTACTGCAGATTACCTTAGTCCACAGCCACATGACATAGTTTTTTGAATGCATGTTTCCAGGGTTTCCCAGCAGAATTCGCCATGTATCTGAACTACTGTCGTGGCTTGCGCTTTGAGGAGGCTCCAGATTACATGTACCTGCGCCAACTGTTCCGCATCCTCTTTAGGTAAACACACATGCAGTGGCCAAATCATCAGCCCCTGTCCTCACCTGTGCTGGCTTAAATATTGTTGTAGATCTATACATTGTTATTGTTATGATTAGCCTTGATTTTGATGGTGCCAAATTGTTACCGGTCTCTCTCTCTCCACCTCATCTCTCTCTTCTCTCCCCCGCTTTCCACCCATCTCTCCTTTCCTCCCCCCTTACTTTTCTTTCCTCACCCCAACCGGTCGAGGCAGATGACCGCCCACATTGAGCCTGGTTCTGCCAGAGGTTTCTCCCTGTTAATGAGGGAGTTTTTCCTCTCCACAGTCGCCTGTGCTTGCTCATTGTGGGAACTGTTGGGTTTCTCTATGTTAATATTGTTTTAAGGTCTTGACCTTTAAATGTAAAGTGCCTTGAGATAATGTAAATTATGAATTGGCGCTATATAAATAAAATTGAATTGAATTGAATTAAATATCAACTGTCACTATTAATATCAGTAAATGAATGTTAAATCCAGAAAAGCATCTAACAAATTTTCAAGGTTCATACTGCATACCAGCTTTTATCTACTTGAGCAACTGCTAATACATGCTTTTGGTGGACTCTTGATGTTTGTTCCTGATTCTCTGTAGCTTTTGTTGAATTATTTTCTTAGCTCTAGAGTAGAGGGTAATATAAAATAACTAATTTATTTATTCATATACTATGTTCATTTCTTTCTACTACTTTTTTCAACCTGATTTTGCTCTTCCTACAGCTCTTGCTTGCTTCATTCATTCTTTATTATCCAGCTTTGTCCCACTTTCCTTCCTTCATGTTTCAATCAGCTGGGAATATGCAAAAAACATGTTCTTTGTGTTTCAGGACTCTGAACCACCAGTATGACTACACATTTGACTGGACCATGTTGAAACAGAAAGCTGCTCAGCAGGGGGGCTCATCTGGTGGCCAGGGCCAGCAGGCACAAACCCCCACAGGCAAGCAAACTGACAAATCCAAGCCTAACATGAAAGGTTAGTAGCAAACAGCCAAGCGACGTTTTTTTACAGACACCAATTGCTCATATATTCATACAGTATTGTATTTAGATATTGTTCTATTCCCTTTCCCACACCCCAGTGTCCCTTTTTTTAAAATAATAAAAAAAACATCAAATTGGAAAAGAAAAACTTAAGTAATTATTCCTGTTGGAATGATGAAGCTTAACAGCTTTATTAGTCTGAGAAGGCACCCTAAAAGAACAGAAAATTTAAAATAAAAAAACTTGATACAATTGGTATGTCTTGCTTAAGCAAAGACGTCCTTGGGGAATTTGACTACTAACTTTGCTGCCATGCTATTCTGTTCCTTTGTTGGGGCTCGACGATGGACTTTCTCTTCCTTGACACTGTTATATTGCTGACTGATTTGCTCACATTTACCTGTTCATGACTTTCTTTCTTCAAACTGGATAATGTTTGTTTTTCCCTCTTATTTAACACTTGTTTTCGGTTGATGTGACTTTATGATCTGCACCTGGTCTAATGCCAATATAGGCCAGTTGTGGTTCCTTAAGCGCAGCAACCTGAGGAATATTTGTCCCTCAGGACTGAAATAAAGGGTATGCATGTGATGTCACTCGAAGCACAAGTTGCCATGGTTCTCCTAACTGGTAAACATAAAGCGGAAACCAAAAGATGGATAATTAGGGCTGCACAATTGTGTTAAAATATCTGATCTGATTTCTAATTTGACGATTCTGCCGCATTTTAATTTAGGACACCAGCTGCATGAAACTAGGTGGTGCTACTTTTCCCCCAACCAATGACAATGTTGCATTACATTACATCATGCAGAGTAGCAGAAAAAGAGTGAGAAAAGCAGAGAGACGTTTGTGTTAAGCACCAATAAAACAGTAAATTCAGTTAAAAACACAACTCATGACAGTGAGAATCAGAAAATTTAAAAGCCATGATCTTGTACATTCTAGGATCACTATATTCTTATACATACTCAATTGTTGCATATTTTAAATAGATTTCACACAATGCAGTAGAAAAATAATTCAGTGACAAGATAAATCACAGCTTCATTACCACCACAACATTCAAACAGTAATGCATACCTTTGTAGAAAATTAAGTAGCTAACATTTGGCTTAAAGATTTATTCCACACGTTGTATTTCTTTGAGCACACTATCCAGTGGCCTGGGGGCCATCAATAGAGAAGTGCATTAGTATTCTGATTCCAAACTGCTGTTCAACAACATTTTAAGTAATTAGTAATGTACTGCCACTTCAAGCAATGACTCAAAAACCAATGACCAAACTTAATCGATGTCTCTATGAAATAATATCAATCTATCAATTTGTCTCATAGGGTTTAACAGGTTGTGACATCCTGTTTCCTTCACTATCAACAAGAGTAATATGCTTACTTTGATGAAAATTAGAGCAATTTTATAATCTCTTTTTTTAAAGCCTTTGCGTCGTCAATAGCCAGTGAGCGGATGCATTATGTAAGGTAGTCATATGTCCTCCCCATTCTTGTGAACACAATATCTCAAGAAAAAAATTTTTTTTTCCAAGAACACTTTGAGGGAGTTTGGTACAAGCATTCCTGTGGACTCAAGGATGAACAGGTTAAATCTTTGGTGGTCAAAGTGCATGGTCAGTATGACCTCATGAAGCACATTTTGGCCTTGTGATTGTGATATCTCCAGTATGCTTTGAGGAAATTATTTCAGATTGGGCCAAAACATTCACTTTGACTCAAGATAATACCTCGTATAATTTTGGTAGCCAAAGGTCTGGTTGTACAGTGGTCTCACAAAACACGTTTTTGGCCCCTTGAATGTGCTATATATGATAACTTAAACTTTTGACCAGTTGTGACTTGGACTCAAAGATTAACTGATTTCAGGACTCAAAGGCAAAAAGGTTAAGGAGCCCTCAGATTAATCAGGAAAAAAATGGTGTAGATGGAAACTGCACTGGTTGGCGGAGGCATACCACCCCAGTCGTATTTCTAGTTATTCAACTTAAACTGATATAAACACTCACCTTAATCTTCACTACAAAGTGCAATATGACAACGCTGTAAAGGCAGAGGAAACACCAGGTTAAAATCCCTGTATCCCGGCAGCCCCGGACATCAATAATAGATCTAACAGAAACAGTTTTTCTTACCTACCTATTTTCCATTGAATTCTCTTTCAAAAGCTATTTGTTTTTTGATTGCAGGCATGGTTGAGAATGTCAGAACTACCTAACACTGCATTCTCAAAGGGGAGAGTCAGGGCTAAAATGATTACTAGAGTTGCTCGAATAACTTGATTACTAAAATGACTGTTTTGAAATAGATACAACCCTCCTTTTACCACTTTTTAAGAAGCTCCAGCCCCCACATTCAGGCACATGTATTGGCAAGGTGCACCACTGATCTCAAAAAGTAGCAATTAGCCATCACAACCATTAGCATTATCTGTAAACAACAAACACCTTTTGTTCAACATCTCAGATGCAACAGTGACTGTCTGCCCTTGAAGAATCACACCATAAGACACTGATATACCATTATCTCTGTTCCACCGGAGTTAGTGACTGGCTACTGCCTGCTCGGCAGATGCGTGACATGTGTGGGGTTGCAACAGCCCACCACAGTCTGGAAAAAAACCCTGGTGGCCCTTTTGTTATTTCATTATTTTGTCTGGCTTAGTTGTAGTCTGTGGTGCTTCAGCACTTAGCATAACTGTGAAAATGACTGTAGGTATGGATGATTGCATTATTTAAATAAGTTGTAATTGATGATGTTTCAAAATAAGTTAGCGTATACTGTTTATGACCATTCAGAGACCATCCTATGCATAAGCACGAATTACCCTGTTGGTGATTGGCTGGACCAGTGTTGTGCTGTTGAAGTAGTCCAGTTTTATTTTATACATATAATATATATATATACACACACACACATCACCTCTTGGTGCTCCTGTGAATGTCTGTCTCTCACGCTGGTCATCTGTCTATTTCATTTTAATAAATGTCAGACAAATTGAGTGGTTAAGATTTAAACCAGACAAATACATGCAGGTCTCACTGTGTGTGCAGATCTAAGGCAGCTAAAGGTATTCTTTACAGTTTTTACTGGCTCTGTGACTCTGTCATTTGCCCTGCACACTGCTAACCAAATTGAGCCAAACTAAGCATGCCCTGCCATCTCCTCTGGCTTTCCATACATTGCCTACATTTACAAACCTTGTGTATGAGTGCACATGTCTAGCTTTTTTGTGTTAGCGAGTGAGAGAGGGAAAGAGAGCAAGCCGAGTGCGCGCAGCTATGAAGAAAGATAATGATCATTGTGATGATCAGTGTTGATATTGTGGTGTAATTTCAAACAAATCAGCGTTCAAACTGTAGTGGGTCCGAGATGTCAGCTGTGTCTGTGTGAGAGATAGAGTGAGAGAAAAGTGAGCAGCAGCGTGTGTGCCTGCATGCTTGACCTCTCTGTCAAGTTCCTGGTCTATCACAGAAGCTACTCAATTTGTTTATGGTAATCAACTGCTTATAGTGGTCAATTTGGGCAGAACAAACATGATCATAATGAGCGGTGTCCACTGTAGAATATTTTAGGTAGACAGAAGCAGCCGACTCGCAATTGTTTATGCAGGAACAACCCTGTGTATGGACAGGCCAATCAATGACCTGGGTGGATTGATGGTAAACTGCCAAACAGCGGTAATATGTTGCTTTATCACCACGGTGAGAAATAATTCATACCATCACAGCTATAATAAATAGTATTGTATATGATTTCTTCAATGATGTATAAGCGGTCGATGTTAGCCATGTCATGACTTCAAGGCTTCCATCTCTTTTGTCCTGCTGCTGTGCATACATAGGAGACACTGACATGCTGTCATCAGAGACACGGATAGAATAGATGTGCATACATCCTGACCACCTTCATCTAACCATTGGATCTTTTATAGTTTTGTTTTTCTAAATCACTGAACACCACTGTCACACAACATGATTAGTGTGTCTGATGTGCTTAAGTAATCACTGATGATAAGTTTTGTTGGATGTTGTGGGTTAATTACTGAATCCATCAGACTGTCTGCCTTGTGTGCATTTGGCCTTCACGCTGCGATGGTCTGTGTATAGTTGCCCATGTTCTGTCACAGTCGTAGCAGTCATAGCATTGAACCACATGGTTAAAAGAAGCACAAACAAAAATATTGGGTTTTATAGAAAATAGGGCTGCATGATCGCGATATCAACTAAAAACTAAAATAAAGATATTCATATTATCGCCTTTTTTTCGGTCAATGAATCATTGTCAGAAGAAGAGAATATAGAGAAAACAGAGAATTTGAAACCAGACAGATTAAACTGAGGAAGGCAGCTCTGTCAAATCTCGCTCTGCCTCCTCAGACCAAATTCTACTGTGGAACTTCTAGTGATCACATTTGTCCCGGAACAGATTCATCAATGTGAGTGGTTGATTATAAAAAATAATTGTGAAGGTTATATGATGATCCCAGAACCTGAGGGAAGCTGCTGTGTGTGTGCGTGTCTCTATCTCTCCCTCACTACAGTTTAAAAGTTGATTTGTTTGTCACCACAATACGATCGATACTTTTATTAGTTAAATCTGTCTTCAGAGCAGCGCATTCATCAGCTGTCCCACTCGCTCTTTTCCTCTCTCACACCCACATACTTACACAAACAGTGTGATCGGACACGTTTGAACTCAGTCTAAGTAAAAACAACAGACTTTGTAAGATTAGTAAAGCTATGGAGGTGGAGGAGATGGTGTTGCTCGGTTTGGCACAGCGTGCAGCACCAATGACAGTCAGAATAGAGGATGTAAATTACTGACACAGTCGCTAAAAAATAAAAAAATAAAAAAAACATTTATGAAAATCCCCATCCCTGCAACAATATTACTGTACTATTCGACAACCTAGTAATGATTGAGTTTGTATGCAACCACTTGTATCATGTACATCTCTTACATATCTATATTTATATAAATAAATAAAAGTGATACAGTTAGAATAATAAGAAAAATAATAGTTAACTAAAACAAAACAGCATGATAAACAAGTAAATAAAAGAAAATCAGCAAGTAATTGAGAGTGGTCCTTATGGGTTTCAAATTATACATAGTACAGGGTCAGTCATACAGAACGCCAATATTAGTGACACTTTATTTCTCTATGTAGATTAAAAAAGGTTTCCATGTAGCATTCATTTTTTTGAATACATCCTCTTGTAGAGTAACAGATCTTCTCTAGTACCAAATGGTGTAGAAGGTCATTGATCCACATCTTAAAGGTAGGGGGACGTTCTTCCTTCCACGTAAAAAGTATTAGTCGCCTAGCTATAAGCGATGAAAAAGCTATCATATTCTTTGCCTGGTGATTAAGGTGGATGTTTTGTGGAGTTATTCCAAATATGGCAGTAATGGCATAAAGTTCAATATGTACTTGTAAGACATCTGAAAAAGTTTTAAATATTGACTGCCAGAAATTGTTTAGCTTTGAACAAAACCAGAACATATGTGAGAGGGTGGCTGGTGCTTGACTGCATCAATCGCAAATGGGATCGACGCTAGATGCGAACTTTGCTAATCTCACTTAAGACCAATGAAGGCGATGCATGACCTTGAACTGAATATAATTTCTTCTGATTGCATTTAAAGTTGCTTTCAGAACTATCTCCAGAGATGCAAATGTCAAGAGTGACAGCCTCCGGATTATCTGCAGACTTCTCTGCATGTCCCCCTAGTATAAAGTCAGCAGAAAGTCAAGAGAATCTGATGTAAGAACACAGCGGGGAGTCCTCTGCTGGATTCACAACAAGCGAGTGCGTGGGTTGATCTGTGATAGACTGGTGGCAGTTTCTGATCTTTTATGTCTTGTCTTAGTCCCTGTTTTTGCTCATCTTCAGTGCTGACCTCGGCTCGCTGACACTAAACTGATCCAGTTGGTCTTTGGCCAGCATTTTTAACAGTCTGTATTGATCTGTGTAAACATTGTGCTAATGATACTTTCTGTGTCTCTAGGTTTCTGAGAGTTCTTTGCTCAGAGTTGAGCTGCAGAAGCGTTGGTGACCAGGGCCAACAAATGTTTCTTCCTGGACAAACGACGAAGAAAGTCTGTTTCTCTCCTTCCACAATAAGTATCTATGTAATGGCAATGTATAGATTTACACATGCCTTTGTCTGCTGTGTTATCTATATATTAATGTATATATATAATAAAACTCTCCACTCCGAAAGACAAAGCAGGTTTATTTTGGATGTGGTTGCTGTAGCCCCCCTAGACACATACACCTTTCCCCCATCCATCCCTCTGTCTGTTGTCTGTATTGACTTTTTGTAAGGTTTCTTTGGAATCTCAAGTTAAGAAGTTAGTCAGCTGACCCCTTTTTCTCTCCCAGTGGATACATCACAGCATTTCTCTCCCCCCCTAATTATTTCACTCCCACATTTTACCAAGCAAATGTTAAAACATGTAAACCTGAAAACTGTTCTCCTTTTTCTTTCTCAAATAATTGAATGACTCAATCCTGGATGTTATTTACTAAAAGACAATGTTTTTTTGTTTTCTTTGGTGATTAGCAGTTTGCCTGTTGATGATATAAGCAGCTGATGGCAACAGTCAGTGGTAGAATGATACTCTGGCTCTCTCCCTCTTTCTTTAGAGCTCTGAATGATTATTAAATCTGTTGTACAACCTATGGTCTTCTCCAAAAATACCAATAAAAACATAACATAACTCAGACTTCCAAGCACAAGTCATTATCAATCACCTTCTCAACAAGAACTGTCTGAAGAAAATGTGAAGTACCAGTTGTGTCCAATTTCCATCTCATTAGCTGATCAGCTGTTCATTTAATTTCCCCAACATGAGTTTTTTATGATTACATTGTTGATACTCAGAATTACTCAACAGTCGACAACAATCAATGAAGAAAAAATACGATGACAGTTAAATTTTCTTTTATTTATTGTAACAGTTAATAGAGATTTCCTTCCAGTAACCCAGAGTTTCACTTTGTTTGTAGCTGAAGTCTTTAGACTGAAGGAGGTCTCAGGCATGCCAATATCTTTTCAGTCAGATTGCTCACCTCGCAGCGCAGTAGTTAACATTTTTTTATGTAAAAGGAAGAAAAGTGTTCCACTATACCCACCTTTATCTTTCACCAGTTGCATTTCTTTGTTTTGATTATATTTGCAGTCTTGTGTCCAGCATTGCTCTGAGGAAAATGGTGCAAGTTTTACTATTGTACAACAACTATTGTTGTATCAGCTATTAGATTTGTTTATACAGTGTAAACTTTAATAGGCCTCTCTGCATCTTCCCCTCACTTTGGCAGCTGATAAAGTATCCTCTTCATCCTCCAATTAAAATTAACAATTGTTGAAAACCAATATGGAACAATTGTGGAGATTCTCCATCAGGGCCCCGTGGCTTTAGTTTCTTAAATGGGATACCTCTTAACTCTGTTGCCTATGACATGGGCTACATGGCTTTCATAGTACTGCAATACAAGCCAGTAGCCAGATTTATCTTTAGCCGCAGCATTATTTTTATTTATTTTTTTGCCATGTATTTTGTGAAGCAATTTTTAACTTTATTTAGAGTGCTATATGAATAAAATTATTATAACACAGGCATAGTCTGAAAATGTTGGTGTTTTCAATTTTATTTACAGCCGGCCACCCAAGGTGCACATGGACA